GAGAGAGAGAGAGAGAGAGAGAGAGAGAGAGAGAGAGAGAGAGAGAGAGAGAGGGAGAGAGGGAGGGAGGGAGGGAGGGAGGGAAGGAGGGAATATCAGCGTCTGATGATGCACTTGCAAAACTGTACATGCACTTAAATTCCACAAGCTGATCTCAAATAGCAGATAACAAAAGAGTGAGAACTGGCTGGCAGAAGCTCAGACAGTCAGCATAGAGTTGCTCCATTTGATAACCCAGCAGTTGATTCTCTGTTTGCCAGGACGAAATACATGCACCGACAGAAAAAGAAATTCACAAGGCAGGTAAACAATCAGTAGGCAACAGATATGCGATAGTTACTTTCCATGGTAGGAGTCTGCAAGGAGGAGGTCCTGAGCAAGGGGTGAACGTTTGAGGGTTCACGACAAGGAAACGGCATAGAACTGGGTATAAACAGCCAAAAGGGGGGACACGACTTACAAACTGGAGGGCGCTATAGAGGGAGCAAAAATCTTGCATCGGCCTTGTTTCCAGAAGTCCGTTTGTAGGGGCTGGTGCCCAGTGCCTCCTCACACAGTCAAGCGACATCTTTAGGTGTGATATCGCATACTTCAGCACACTGCTTGCCTGAACGCTGCTCCAGTACATCGACTCTGTAAGACAGAGTAGGAACATCATTAATGATTGGCATCCCCAATATTTTACATTCCTTTCTTGAACACTGAGATATATACGAACTCAAAAATATCATAGGCAAGGGAAGAGTGCACAGTACTACATACTACACAGCCACACGATGGATACAGAATCAACTGGATAAACGAAAAGAAAAGAAAGGATGTGCGAGCGTTTGCAACTTCGCATGCAGACCTCTGCACTTCACCTGATGACCGAATGCGAAAGCATGAGGTGAGAAGCCATGAACTCATCACAGTTAATTAACCGACAGTGAGCAAGTCCATCATCACAGCTACTCTCTGCCACCAAAATAGATCATGATCTACAAGACTATAACAGTATAACTGCTATATACGCTTGGCATCAAATCTATACCAAGTTCTAGACCATGTTCAAACCCACTCGAGCTTTGACATTATTTCAAAATTAGTCAGGATTTATGAGAACAGCTTCAACGAAAAAAAGCCAGAAGGGAGAAGTGGAGCATTGCACCGGTGCACCACATCAGTTCACCTCATGATGTGGTCCCCCTGCGAAACCAGCCTGTTGGTCTGACTGATATCCCAGATCCGAAGCCTATTTTCTCTCCCTTAACATAGCTGTCCATCATCATGAACGCATACGAAGTATCACACACCCTCTTTAGGTACAAATAGAGTCATGATGCTGGGGCTAGAAGGTAAACATTTGAGTCCGGCATGTCCGGACAGACAGTCCAACAAAGGTCGAATTGCTGCGTTCCTGATCCTTAGATTCATCACCAGACAATCATGTGGCTTTCAGGCCCTGCCGAAAGAAGAACACGCAACTGCCTCTACCTGACGTCCAGGTTCACTACACAACCCTGTAGCTGCCGTGCCATACCAGACCACGGAATGATCTTGCTCATCATTGCACAAGTTTACAGAGAACTAAGCACAGCCATACATGCATAGATTCCAAACACCCCATCCTATCGCCCTCGCTACTGCAAATTTTGGGGCAGTCTGGCAAATTTTTGAGTTCTTCGTCAAGGATTTGCACGATTAGAGTTAGTTCTTCGTCAAGGATGTTTGCAACTTTTTGCACGGTCATGTTTGGGGCAGTCTGGCAATTTTTTCTGCATACACCGAACATTCGGCAAGGCTTTGAGCGGAAGAGTTTTACGAACGTACAATGTAATGAACTGGTGCCAAATGAATCCACAAACCTGTGATTTGAGCATTCTTGATGAAGTCCGGAACCAGCGCAGGCACAACAACTGCATCCTTTTCCATGGCTGTGGTCAGTGCTCTTTGGATAAGTGAAACCAGGGGACCTGTCTGATCATCATCATCTCCTACCAGGTGCTGCAGCTGGCCATCTCGACCTGATATGACCCCTAGAAAGGGTGCCACCTGCATCATTTGGAGGGTGTCTTGCTCTCTCTGGACGAATCACAAAGACATACATTGCAAATGATAGTGCAAGAGATGGATAGATGAGAGCACAAGAAGAACAGTTCAGAGGAAGAGAGAATGGAAAATAGGAGAGAGAAAAAGAGAGAGAGAGAGAGAGAGAGAGANAGAGAGAGAGAGAGAGAGAGAGAGAGAGAGAGAGAGAGAGAGAGAGAGAGAGAGAGAGAGAGAGAGAGAGAGAGAGAGAGAGAGTTCACAGTGCAAGTTATTCATTAGAAATTGCAAGTGAAATTTAATTAATAAATTATTAGAAAGAAGAACAAGAAGAGTTGTTTAGATATAGAAGCATAAAGACAATATGATATCGTACATAATGTATCGACAAAAAAACGCTATAAATAGATTCAAACAGAACTCAAAGAGAATACAGATAAATCATAAGACTCGTAAATGTGAATAGATATAAAAACTCAAAAGAATGTCCAGATCGTAGTAACTCCTTTCTTTTGGATATAAATTAGAAATAGAATCATCAATACTAGTATTGATACGATCCGATTAGAGGAGAAGAATAATGGTGCACAATGATGGAGAGAATGAAATAAGTGTCAGACTCAGAAGATCCAATCACAAATGAGAAGGAGAGCAAAATGCACAGGACACACAGAGAACAGTGTCATCCATCATCAACCATTTCATTGATAATTAAAATTTTTAACTCACAAGTTCAGACTTGTAACTGTTGCATGTCTCCATTAGAACGACCGACCAGAAACATGGCATCCCTTACTCGATAACATGGCTAAATGTTGCGGATCAAGATTTTGAATTTAGATCCTGTTTGATACGATAGTGTCAGAGGCTTACCCTAAGCCCAATGTTTCGGGATAAAACGTCCACAGAACAACGATATGGTTGGCGTACTGTGCTTTGATCTTACTTGGCCTTGAGTGCCTGCTCCTTAAACCACCAGTACATGCCAGCCATCGGCCGCGGGCCCCTTTCGGAGGCCGCCCGCCGTCGATCCATCTTATCGACGGCATGCGAGCCTCCTAAATTTTAGGAGAGGCTCAATCGGACTCTGAACTTGGCCGAGGCCATGTACTGGTGCTTTTAACCGCTCGCACACGGCCCCAGCCTTGCAGAAAGTTTTTGTCGCCACAAGCAAAACTCGGAGGCGCTGCGCGGCCAGGCCCGCCGTTGAAAAACAGAATTAGCGGCCTCCGAAGTGGTGCGGGTTTCGTGCTGACAACTGCGGGCCTATATGTGGTATACTGGTGCTTTAAGTCTTTAAGACTCTTTAGCACACCACTACTCAGGTTGCAATGAGCTCCATGATGATCTACATGAACCCCTCAACTCATATGGATTACAGCATTGGAACATCATTTTGAATATTTTCCCCTCGTGGAAAGGTAAAGGGAAGAAGGAAGGAATAGAAGCCGAAAAACACCATGATGGTGAAAGATAGGAAAAAAAAACAAAACAGCACAGAAGAATTCACCAAACCTCAAGACACCTTCCCTCCCCTTGCTCATCTTTTGCGTTCAATTTGGTTCTCTTTAAGATTTTCTTTGCTTTTTTCCGTCTCTCACATTTTCACCGTCCGCTACTATTTTGAAATTTTTTCTTCTCTCTCTTTTTTTTTTTTTTTTTTTTTCAAGTTTTTGAAGTTTTTCTTTTTTTGTTGCTGTAAGGCAACCGGCCTTGAGATATTATTGTTGAGAACTGACCGGCCACAAGTAGTTCAGAATCATTTAATTTCGTTCATCTATTTCCATTTGGGTTCGAACTCAGGTCTCGCATCTCTGTCCAAGTTCTACCTTTTCTCTCCACATAAATTCATATTTAGTTCCACCTGTCCCACTGCCGATCCCTTTTTTCCCTTCGTGGATAGTCTAACCCCTCCCTCCTCCCTCCCTGCTTCCACCATACCATATTCTCTAACACATTCCTTCCCACCAAGTCACCGTATGTCCCAGCCGCTGGTCTCTTTTCTCCTCAGCTCTCCTCTTTTCATCTCTCTCTCCTATTCCCCCCCCGTCTCTCATTTTCTCTAGCAATTAACCAATTTAACCCTTTTTCGCTACCCTCCCCCTCCTATTTCTCCCTCCCTCCTTGTTCCCTCTCCCTTCCCTGCTCACAACCCCGTATGCTGTCTACCACTCTACCGCCTTCACTATAACACCTTCCCTCCCCCACTTTACCACCCTGTCTCCCACTGTTCCATCCTCCATTGATCTTTCTCATCGACCCATTTCTTACGTTTACACCTCTTCTCATCATCATTCCTCTGTGTCCTGCTTCACAGCTTCTGTCTGTAACCTCACCCCCGTTCCTATCTCTCCCTGACTCGCGAACTCTGGCACAATCCCCTGGCACCTTCATCGGCCTCCTCTACACCTTTCTTCCATTACCTCATCCCCCCACAGATCTGGCACAGTCCTCAGCACCTCCAAAGGCTTTCATCATAATTCCTCTGTGCCCTCCTACCTTACCCCAATGAGATAACGTGACCGACCAACGGCCTCAATGTCTGTTCTCTGTGGTATCATGGCATCTGTGCCTGCATAGAGTTGTCAAGAGCCTCTGCTGCCGGAGTTCTTGCTGATAAATTTTGTATCGACTGCTGTACGTTCTTCTGTCTTCCTCTCTCAACGTATCTGGCACAACCTCCACCACCTTCCCTCCCTTTCTCCCTGTATCCCTTCCTACCAGCATAAACCCCCGCCCAACCAGACTGCCTGCAGTTTGCTCCATGTTGATCAGACCGCTATGAGTTCGAACATCATTCATTAAGCACATTGACAGCCGATACCCTTTCGACGAATCAAAAGCGAAAAGGACAGACAGAGCATACAGGAAGCCAAAGAACTTACCAAGGCCATATCCATGAAGACCATCCATGCAATGATGCTTCCAATCAGTCTCAGACATTCCAAGAGGTCCACTCTTCGATTGTATTGTTTCAGCCATTCGACCTGCTGGTCGAAGAAGTTCAGGCAGCCTGTGAAAGAAAGAGATACTCGTACGTTAATAGCCCACCTACCTCTCTGTGCCGACATCCTCACTCACGCTTAAAATCACAGCAATTGAGAGTCGGAGGATAGGAATGGCAATTGCTCGTACATGTCTCATAACAGCAATGCATTTTGGGACATATAACCCTTTTGTTTGAGGGTAAGCCTTAGGGTTTAGGGTTTCTCCTGTACCATTCGGCATCAAAGAGCTCATGACAACTCAGAGCCCGAAGCTATGGATGCCTATGAGCATTGATAAAGCAATCACATTGCGAACGATTTCCCAAGTGATTCCTAATTAGCCAGAAAAGGGCGGGGCGGGACGGGGGGAAGTGGCATACCCTGAGGAAGAGCCTAGCTGGGTAGGTACACTCATGAACAGTTGAAATACAGACCCAAGTTTGAGTCCAGATGATGGAACTAGAAGAATGAAACAAAATTGAAATATGTCTCCGAATTACCGGGGGCCTGTCAGCTCTATGACGATATCTAAGGCCGTCGCCCTTTTAAAAAACGAAAAGAATAGGGAAAAGTTATACCCCCCCCCCCCCCCCGCCCCCGTGATGAAACCTTCGTATTCATTTCCCCCCAAACGGGGCCCCAAAATGACTTTTCGCCGTTTTCGGCGTTTTCGCGTCATTTTTGCAGCCCCCCCCCAAAAGGGAAGAATGTCCCTTAAAAGAACAAAAAGGGGGGGGGGGAAGATGCGAAATACGAAAAATGCCACCATGTATAACAAGTATTAACAACTAGGGTTTAGCCTTTTGGGAAATTAGGGTTAAAAAAGAAAAAATCTCTCTCTCTCTCTCTCTCTCTCTCTCTCTCACACACACACACACACACACACACACACACACACACACACACACACACACACACACAACGGACAGGACAACGGACCTGGTTTGAACTCTGGTTATGTGTTTACAGTCTTGGCTAAAAAAAAATTTTCCTTTTGATTTTGTTTTCATTAACTTTCAGTTCAACTTCCGAGACTGATCCAGGTTTGTTTTGAATAGAGGAGGGAGTTCAGTTGATCGGAAAGCCTTCCCCCCCCCCCGCCAAAAAAAAAAAAAGGACAACCTCCCAACTCTTCTCCCTCACCACCCCAAACAACACACCCAAGCTCCTACAACCATTAGCAGAATGTTCCACGCAAACCATCCTTAGTGAAGCCAAGCATGCGACCAGCCTGAATACCCTTAGACAACCCCTTCAAGTACATCCGGAATGGTGGACCAGGCCTGACAAGTCCAAGTCAGACTTGCAGACAGAATTTGTTAGCTCAAGATAAGTAGCAATCTGCGCATACTCCTCACACAGAGTAGAGCGGATAAATATAGGTGGTTTCCCTCTAGCAATTCCCGGTGGCAGTTAGTGTGAGAGTAGATAGACATAGGCTTAGGTCACCTAGCAGGTCGTCGAGGGTTAGAGAATAGAGTGCATAGTTGATGTCGCCATTCAGCATATAGATATGGAACTCCGCCATGCTAGATACGTAGTGAAGATAGCGCGAGGTGTGGAGGTAGCTAGTGTGAGGTGGGAAAAAAAATTGAGAGAAGAAAATAGCGTCATGAATACAGCTGTCCCCCATATGAGGAGAAGGCAGCTTTATTAAAAAAAAAAAAAAAAAAAAAAAAACAATCCGGGCATCTGAAACGGCTGAAGCACACACGAAGAGAGTGGAGGGTAAGGAAAGTGCAAGCCGAACCAAGAGGGGCACTGTTGAGTGGGGGCATTGCAAGGTCCTCTGGCATCCTCGGTAACAGCTCCATCATGTGAGACGGAAGCACAGACGTAACCTGCAAAATTGACCAGGTTCACAGGATCAGTTCAGACAATGGCCTAGAAACACAGACGAACACATGCACGAGCATGCACAAATAGAAACACACACACACACACACACACACACACACACACACACACACACACACACACACACACACA